GGCCTTGTTGACAGTGACTGCCGCCACAGCGCAGGCCAACCGCTCCTCCGTCACGCGCCTCCCTCGTCACGCAGCTCCCAGCTCCCCTGCTCGCGGGCGGCAGACGTCATACGACGCTCCAGACGGCCCCGCCCCCTTGGCCCGCCAACTGGACGGCGGACTACGGTGATGGATAGGTGGGCGGGAGAAAGCGCGTGAGGGGTCTGAGGGGAGGAGAAAGTGCGCGACAGACAAGGGCCGCTGGCTCTGGGTGGGGAGGAGTAGGTGGGAACTGGTAGATTCCTGGGTCTGAGACCGCGGAACTAGACTTACGGCTGAGAGCCAGGGTTTACAAGATAAACAGTAGTTCCCTACTGAGAGGTATTTTAGCAAGGGATACAGTTGACCGTCTCTAAAGCTCATTTGGCTTCGCACTTTTGAGACAGTGCCCAGAGCCTCTTCTCCCCCTGCGCCCCCTCCCTGCTCAGCTGTGGCCCTCCTCTTTCTCTCTCTCTCTCTCTCTCTCTCTTTTTGCTGACTGCGGCTCCAGTCGTTCCTGCCCTAAGGGGTGCCCGGCTTCACACTTGGGGACTCGGGCCTCCACACCCTCCTTCCAGGTTTAGCTTGTGAGGACGGCCCTTGCTAGACCTCCTCTTACCCGGTCGGGCCACTTTTTAGACGATCCCTGGCTTCCCTCCGCCGTCTTTGCAGACGCTCCCTAATTCTCGCCTCGGTCTCTTAAAGCCCTTCTAGTTCGGGCCGTTCCATTAGACGCTGCCTTGGCTTTCCGGGATGTGCAGGCCTTCCCTAGACGCTGTGTCCTGGCAGCGCTCTCCGCCCCGGCCGTGGGTCGAGCGTGTGCACGTGCACCGCCTCCCGTCCCCTCCTGCAGGTTTATGAGTAACCGTCCTGAGTCCAAGGCCGGGACTTGCCACGTCTCGGGATCCTCGCCCAGACTCAGGTGGGGAGGCGTGTGGGTCGAGTGACCTCGCCGTGCCAGGCGCAAAGGCTCCAGATCCGAGCTGAACTTCAGCCCCCCCAGCCCTCCGCCCTGAGCCCCCGAGGGCAGCGAGGAGTGTGGGGGCCCGTAGTGCCCCTGAGCCTTCCTGGGGCTCACTCTCCCGGCGAAGCCTGGGTGTGGCCACTCCTTCGGGTGCCATCTCTAGACCGGAGCCTCTCACCGGGGCCGGCCTCGTGGACTCCGCGCTTAGAGAGGTCCTGTGCTTGCTTTAATGTTCTCCGGTCACCGTCTTGCAATTCGTAATAATTTTAAAGCAAGCGCCCGGCATTTTCATCTTGAGCTGGGTTCCACTAACTTTGTAGGAGGTCTGCTGATCGCCCTTCCCCTCTTTCAAGATAACTTACTATTTGTGCCCTAACGTTTATGGAAACTTTAGGATGTCATTGTTTCTGGGTTATCCAAACTGGAAAATGTGGCATGTTTTAAATGGTCTTTCCTAACTCTTTGCCTTTTCTTTTCTTTTTTTTTTTTTGAGTTGGACTCTCACTCTGTCGCCCAGATTGGAGTGCAGTGGCACACTAATGGCCATGGCAGCCTCGATCTGCTGGGCTTAGGCCTCAGTCTTCCAGGTAGCTGGAACTACAGATGCATGCCACCACGACCGGCTAATTTTTGTGACTTACTGTGGAGACGAGGTTTCACCAAGTTGCCCGGGCTAGTCTCGAACTCTCTGGCTCTGGCAATCCTCTCACCTTGGCCTCCCAGAGTGCTGGGATTACAGGCTGAACCACTGTGCTCAGCCACTCTTTGCCTTTTAAATTCAATTCTACAAGTCCTATAGATTCTTAGCTATTTATTTTTTAGAGACAGGGTCTTGTTCTCTTATCCAGGCTTGAGTGCCACTTTACAGCTCACCGCAGCCTTGAACTCCTAGGCTAAAGGAATCCTCCCACTTCAGCCTCCTGAGTAGCTAGGACTAACTACAGGCATGTGCCACCACACCTGGCTAATTTTTTCAATTATTTTTATTTTTTGCAGAGTTCGGGGTCTTGCTTTGTTGCCCAGGCTGGACTCAAGCTCCTGGCCTCAAGCCATCCTCCCACCTTGGTCTCCCAAAGTGCTAGGATAACAGATGTGAGCCACCATGCCTGTCCCCTATAGATTCTTTAGATGATTATTTGAGGTTATTTTCACAGTCACTACTCTAAATCAAAAATTTTTTTTTTTTTTTGAGTTGGAGTCTCACTCTGTTGTCCAGACTGGAGTGCAGTGGCTGCTCCCGGCCACTGCAGCCTTGACCTGCTGGGGCTCCAGCAATCCTTCCACCTCAGCCTTCAAAGTAGCTGGAACTACCGCGCCCGGCTATAAAATCAAATTTTCATTGCTTTATGCCTCTTGCTCTAGTTGATCTGCTAAGGACCCTTCTCTAACAGCATTTAGTGCTTAAGAACCCACAAATGCTTTACTATTGTTCATTGTTTCAAATATAAACTTCCAAACCTGGTTGGCTGTTTTTTTGAAACCTCATTTTTTGATAGTTCTGCCAAGCAAATATACCCATAAATGTCTTGTTTATGTTCACCTCTGCACTTTCCAGGAGAATGTCTTATCTGAGGGAAGCTGTTTCTACCAAACTCCCTTCATCATAGCCTTGCACTTTGACCTTCTGATACCACGTCCAGGAATCTGGCCTGGACCTGTATAAAAATTTATGTTCTACAGAGCAATTGATATTAGTGGAACACTGGAAACAGAATAGATCCAAATATCCTACAATATGCAATTGGTTAAATAAATTATGGCCCATATGAAACAAACACAGGTATACCAGTAGCCATTAAAATGATGTAGTCTTCTATTTTTATACCATGGGAAATTATGCAAGCTGTATTGTTAAGTTAAAAAAAAAAAAAAGGCTGGGCTCGATGGCTCAGCCTGTACTTCCAGCACTTTGGGAGGCCGAGGTGAGTGGATTGCTTGACCCCGCGGGTTCAAGACCAATCTGGGCAACTTGGCGAGACCTGGTCTCTACAATAAAAAAGTAAAAAAATTAGCTGGGTGAGGTAGCACATGCCTGTAGTTTTTTTTTGGCTTCTTGGAAGGCTGAGGTAGAAGGATCACCAGAGCCCAGCAGGTCGATGCTAGGGTGCCCATGAGCGTGCCACTGCACTCCAGTCTGGGCAACTGAGTAAGACTCCAACTCAAAAAAAAAAAGTGGTAGTCACTGAGGCAGAAGGATTGCTTGAGCCCAGGGGTTTGAGACCAGCCTACAAAACATAGTGAGACCTCCAACTCTATGAAAAAAACAATTAAAAAATTAGGCATAGTGGTACATGCCTATAGTCCCAGCTATTCAGAAAGCTCATGCAGGATGTTCAAAAGGTTAGGGCTGTGGTTCAAAAGGTTAGGGCTGTGGTGACACTGCACTCCAGCCTGGGCGACAAAGCGAGACCCTCAACCTCAAAAAAAAAAAAAAAAAGTGATAGACATTTCTTGTGGTGACATGTGGTCGCAAAACAATATGGTTTCAGTTTTGCATTAAAAGGTATAAAAATACCCAGGCGCATTGCATTGTCAAACAAATTATAAAGTGGAGAAAGCCTTGGATGAACCAATGACAAAGATGTAGCATAAACAGAGAATTTGATTCTGATTGAATTCCAGCACCTGAGGTTCAGAAAATAAAAAACAAAACAAAAGACTTCTGTTAAACTCAGCTTTTTTTTTTTTGAATTGGAGTCTCACTCTGTCACCCAGACTGGAGTGCAGTGGCCGCTCCTGGCTACCGCAGCCTC